ACTGATCGAAGAGGTAGAGCACCTGTCGTCCTCGTACCGCCCTGAATTTCGCCGCTTCTGTCTCCTTAAAAATGAGGATTTCTCGGGAGAGTTCTCCCCTAGCGACTTTGGTGAGTGCAGCAAGAAGTTTCGTGTCAAGGGTGAGGAATTTCTCGGGGTCTCGAAGGGATTCCTGCGATGCGTCTTTGTCGTAGGCCTTCATCACCCATTTAAACGCCTCATCAGGTGAATCTGATGCTGCCCTGACCGCTTCCCTAGCTGCCGTTTTCCACGAACGATACGACTCTGGACTTGGAAACTCCGGAAGGCTGATAGACTCTGCTTCTTTCACTTTGGGTTTGTCAGCATCGGTTTTGCTCTCACCCCTTATGTTTCTTAGGCTTTGAAGAATTGCCATTTGGGTCTCTAGGAGACCTGTGTTGAAAGCATCCGTCCCTGGCGTGCCGGAATCGGCCGCTGGAGGGGCCGCTGTTCCTGGCGCTGCCTGGGAAGGTCCTGCCTTGGGGATTGAAGATGCTGTTGCAGACGGAATGGACTGAGCATTCAAACCTCCTGGATTCATTGACTCGAACAGACATCTGGCGCCTTGGGGGATAACGTTCGGCATTGAGAACATGGGCGCTTGAGGAGCTTTGGGGACGACAGAAGGACCTGCAGGGGTGCTTGGAGCAGGCACTGGCTGACTCTTTGGAGTAGCTGGATTGTACTGATCCAAGACCTTCTCTAGTGCAGTTTCCGCAGAATCCAACTTGTCCTGAAGCTCTTCATTCTGTTCCCTACATACAGCAAGGGACGCCTCATACTCTTCTTTCTGCCTGTTCCTAAACAACTCAAAGTGTGCTTGGAACTGTTCAACCATGACGTCCTGGGAATTCTCGATGTGCCGTCTCGCCTGTTCTTCGAGGTTCTGTGCAAAGCGTGATTCCGCCAAATGTTGATCCAATGCGTCTGTGATTCGGCTGTTTTGAAGTTCCGCTAACTCTTGACGCAACCTTTGATCTTCATCATAGGAATGCGCTTGACTCAAAGTCATTTCCGACAACAGGAGCCTTTCACGATTTGCCGCCTTGAACTCGCTTTGTGCCAAGGCTGCTTGCAGTTCTGCTACCACTTCAAGGTGGTTTCGTTCTGCTCTGTGCTCCAAGTCGGCTGTGTGAATTGCGGATGCTTCTTGATAGGTCAGCATGTGTTGCCTGTGTCTTGCTTCTGCCTGAGCCTCTAGTTCTCCGACCTCCAGTCTGATCTGGTTAACGTGTACTTCAACACTATACTGTGGTGCGAAGACGTTGAATTGTTGGACTGAGGCTGGTGCCGGGAAAACTAAGCCGGGGGCGCCGCTCCCTGTATGGCCACCCGTGACCGGGGGCTGTAAAGGGTTCACGGTGCTTGTAACTGTATCCATACTTGCAGGAATAAGTTCCGGTTCGCTCATGCGCTGATTGATTGTATTGTAACCAACCAGTTGTGACCAGGCCGTAGGCTATACGGCTGATAACCTATAGTTGTTGTAAGCCACTGCACACACGCACTGTTGTATATACCCGTCCAAGTGTTTACAAGCAGCGCAATACCATTAGGCAACTACGCACTTTTCCTGTAAGAGCACTTGTGCCACAATGCCGTACACACAACATGCTACTTCACACGTGCACAAATTACAAATTACATCCCTGCATCCTAAGGCCCTAAACCCTAAATCACTCAATCCTAAACCTTAAATTCTAATTCCTAAAGCCTAAAAATCCCAAACCCGAAACCCTAAAAGTCTAAACCCTAAAACCCATAGTCCTAAACCCCCTGTGTTACAAGAGTTCCGGAGCTTCGGGGGGGGGGGGGCCGGGCCCCGTTTTGGGCTTCGACGTTCAGCGCTTGGCGCTCCTGAGGTCTCGTCCCCGAAGGGCTCCTCCATGATCTCCGCAAGCTCCTGTTAGTAGATGTTTCAAGGTTTTTGAAGGTTTAGGGTTTTGAAGGGTTTTGGGGTTTAAGGATCTCCGCAAGCTCCTGCTGCTAGGGGTTTAAGGGCTTTTAAGTGTTTTTAAGGGTTTTCAAGGGTTTTAGGGTTTCGAAGGTTTACGGTCTGGAGGGTTTAGGGTCTAGAGGGTTGAGGGTTTAAGGTTTCCCGGGCATTTTCTTACTTACTTAGGCCCTTCGCAGCTACTCTCAGATCCTCTCTGAGCACTGTAGGGTGCTCTGTTGGAGGGTCTGGAGCTGCAAAGAGGGCATTAGGAGTTGAGGGCGTTGCTTGGAGGTTCATGGATAGTTATAAGTGGGGTCATAAGTCCCCTAAGATGGGTTATACGTATACTTATTTTACTTATGACCCTACTTATAACTACCCCTAAACCTTAAGCCCTGTACCCTTATAGAATCCCTAGAGATCCCTTTAAAGGGACCCTATAACTACCCCATGAACCTCCAAGTTGAGGGCCTTAGGCAAGGAAAAAGCAGCAAGGCGCCGGCCTCGGTGTAGTACAAGGCCCAGGCAACGAGCAGCACTGCGGGCACCACCAAACCCTGGGGGAAGTCCGGGGCGAACCAAGTGTGTCGTTGTCAAACTATCTGTCTATCTACCTATCTATCTATATATATATATATATATATCTATATAAGTGTTAGGGACCCGAAAAGGGACCATAACTTTGACAACCACCCAAATGAACAACGCCTGAGGCTCTGCGGGACTGCTCTCAGATTGCTCGGGGGTCTGCACTATTGGGGCTGAGAGTTTCCGGTGTCGGCTTGGACAGCGTGGCTACAAGTTGCACTTAATGCATGCTCCTCCTCATCCTCCTTCTCCCCGTCCTCCTCTTCATGTCATCTTCTTGCTGATAAGTCACAACGCGAGAAACAGTCGCAGCACACTCGTCAGCATCAGAATCATCAATGTCAGCATCACCACCATCGTCATCTTTGTGACTATGAAAAATAATGAGAAGATTTGCGGTCTAAGCAGCAGTAGCAGCAGCTATATAGTCATCATAAGCTGAAGAGAAGCGCCCACATACGTGCAAACAGAACCTTTCTTCTGCCCTCATCAGCTTGTGAGTGACCGGCTGCAAGAATCAGAGCCATTGGAGTCCGCAACTTCATAACAATACAAAAAAGCCCTCTGAATAATGAAGCCAGTGTCGGGATCTGTTGACGAAATATTGACTTTATTGGGAGGACAAGGGGATTCTCCCTTCCCTGTCTAGGCTGTGCTGAGTGCCCGCGCGGGTCTCATGACGTCAAGCAGAACGAACGGCAGTGTGCCAACCTCTTCGCAGAATGCCACATGAGGTTTCCGTCGGACTATATATCAGATTTCAGAAAGGTTTCATTTTCATAAGGGCTTTTGTGCCGGGCTTGCTCGCTGCATACCGGCTTTTATTCGGGTTCGGTTCTACGAGAGCTTTATACGGGGTGTCCTCATCATGAGGACAGACACTCTGCATTGCCACAAAATCCCACATAAACCACGCCAAAATTCGCGCATGTACGAGGAGTTTGCTGAAGATGTTCTGCTAATTAAGGTGTAATTAATGTGGCTTAGACTTAACATCTAGCTCTGTCCCAAGCCCTAATCTCATTGGGGCCGCTTCGAGTTGAGGGGCGGTGGGTGAGGAGAAAAAGGCTTATTCAGACGAATACATTTCCCGAGAGCCCGGCCCAAAGGCGGATGAAACGATCTGCGTGGATAGTGTAGCTGGCTGGCAGTGGTTGCTGCACCTGATAGCAGTTGAGGCTTGGGCCAGACTGCGTCTCAGCGTGTACTGGTTGCTCAGTTCGGTATATTCCAAGTGGGTATTCTACTTCCGCCTTTTGCCCGACTTTGACTGAAGCCCACCATCATTTGAGGGGCTCGGCAACCTTGGATAAGAACTTGCAGAAGGCTCTGTGCAAGGCTGAGCACCGGAAGGTTGCAGCTATACGCGAAAGCGTCGCCCGGCGGTTTGGCGCGCAGATATCTAAGAGACGGGGGGTGTCTGGGGCATTTGGGTTTTTGGGGTTTTGGGCTTCAGAGACCTCAAGGGCCGGAAGACTTTAGGTTTCGGTTGAACCCAGGTCTTTCGGGCTTGTGCTTTTTGATCTTACGGTTTGCGGAGTTTGGGTTTAGGGGTTTTAGGGACTTCGGGGTCTTAGGGACTTCGGGGTCGCCAGGCAATGAAAGAACGTCTGAGCTCGGCACGATGAGATCCAGATTACAGGAGATGCTCTGCAACTGGCTGATGCAGTTGTCCTGGTAGTCTTCCCAAGCTTGCGGATCACTATGCGCTCACTCCTGTGACTGTGTCGTCTATTTGGACTGGTACTACTTGAAGGATCGTCCTGTTTAGTATCCGAATGGGCGGGTTGCGGTGGTTAGTAAAGCCTGCAAGTGAACTTATAATCGGGCTATCTTGACTTATAAGTTATAAGTGTACCATGTTGGGTAAGTGTGTTTTTGAACTTAGTAAGTGAGCGAGGGTGGTTATAAGTAGTTGTTTGAGTTAATAAGCACTTAGCACATTTATAACTGACTTGGGACAAATGCTGTAAGTGGAAGATAAGTACTTGGACACGGTTATATCGGTTATCTACGTCATTTATAAGTACTTATATAAGTACCCTAACTTCATCGGGGCAAAGCATTTGCAGGTCGGTGCAGCTGGTGGTTGCCGACGTCGACGGCATCGAAAGGTGCTTCCACCCCCCGCTTCTTTGCAAGTGATGAGTTCCGTGTTCCGAGCATGTTTGGCCATGTCGAGACTCCCATCATGAGAGACATGCAGTCATGCTTGCAGCTTTCATGCAGTGTTTGCATGCAGTCTTTGCATCACGTGTACATGCAGTGGTATACGATGCCCTGCATGTGTATATAGGAAGTCGTCGTGCAGGGCAATTTGCTCGCCGGCAGGCTGCACGACATTCTTGCATGACTTTCAAACTGACAGTTCATATCTGCATGCAGCATCTTGGCTGTGACAGCACTCACTGCAGACACACACACACACACACACCGACCGCTTCCGAAACACAGCATGGCTTTGTCTGCTGAGCTCGTTGCAGACATCTCGTTCAAGCTGACACAGGTGCAAGAGGGCGATCGACTTGTAAAGACGGTGCATGCGGCTATCAGCCAGCTTGAGTCGCAGGGCCACGTCTACACGATGCAGCTTCAACCGACCATGGTCGGGATCAGTTCCCAGAACCGCGACGGGAGCGGGATTAATCCCGTAGATGTCCACGATCTTCTGGGCGACATAGTTCAAGCCGGCTGGCTTGATGCCAGGGTTCAGGCTATCGCCCATGAGCCAACTGGGCAAGAGGACATCGATTGGAATGTCCGTCTCTTCCAAAGCATGCATGATCGCTGTGGGCCCCTGGAGCCCACGATGATCAAAGCACTCTCCCTGGCAGGGTCACACACAAACTCGGTCTTGCGGTGCTTCCACTATGAGGTCATGCATGAAGGAGACGAGACCGTGTGTCATGATGGAAGACTCAGCATGGAGCTGCTTCGGCGGCACGATCCGGACTTCGCGAGGGCGGTTCGCGAAGGAGTCGTTTGGAAGATCTTGTCAAAGCACGTCGCTGCCCAGCTGCCGCAGCTGTTGGGGCTTGTCCAAAGGATGGGCAACGCCACACTTCACCGTTGCGAACACGAGCTCCAACTGATGAGACGGCTGCATCAGACTTGGGTCCAGATGAGCTCTCAGGGTTCTGTGGACTTCCTGGCACTGAAAAGCAAAGTCACCACGGGGAAGTCCGTGCATGGCAAGTCCATGCCGCATCTTTACAGTTTCGTGTTGAAGACTGCGGGTGGCACAGATCCGTTCTTGCTCAACGAGACTGAAACCTTCGTTAGGTTGCATTCCCCCAGCACACGTTCATTGGGACCTGGTTTCTGGGAGAAGGTCAGTGCCGATGTCAAAGGTTCCAACCAATTCCCACGGTTCCGGCATGCCATGGCCACTTGATTCATAAGCATGCATGCATGTACAGGTCACATATGGGATTGCAAGGCCGAGGTTGCTAGTTGTTGTTGTTGCTGCTGCTCTTAGGTGAAGCTTGCATACTGCAAAGAAGCTGTGGGGTCTGCCGAGTGCAAGAAGATGTTGCACAAGGATTCAACGGCCTCTGTCAAGGAGGCAGACACCATCATGACCACGTGGCGAAAGCTGGTGACGGCCCTGCCGAATGGTGCAGAGCTTCTCATGAATCCCGAAGTGCAGACCTGCTTGTCCTATGGGGACATGTCCTTGGCTGCCTTCACCCTGAATGTGATGTTGCCCGGTGAAGACTTGAAGAAGTATAAGACCAGCTCTCGCCCATGACCTCGTCCTCATTTTGGAAGGCATCCTCAAAACAGACCTGAATGGGCCCTGGGCGGCACACAAGGTCGCAGATTCGGGTGAGGCATCGGGTTCCAAACAGGTTGCAGCACCCAAGGCCATCATGAGGGAGCTGAGCTCCGACGGCTCGGTGAAGGATTCAGCGCTGATGCTGGCCGAGTCCGGCTTTTCAGTCGGCCAACATGTCCGTCGCAAGGCGGACCAGGAAACGGGCCAGGTGATGGCGATGGAGCTTGGCCGTGTCAAGCTGAAGCAGCCCTCGGGGTCCGCAGTGCGGGTGTCGGTCGACAGCTTTCTCGCAGGGCACTGGCAGGTCTTCACACCCAAGCCAGAGCCCCAGACGATTGATGACTTGTCAGTGTATTCGCCTTTGAACTTCCCCGAATACGAGCGACAGATGCTGTTGGCATGCTTGCACATGGACATGCATGAGCTCATGCAAAAGCACGACACGAATCCCATGCTGCAGAAGCTCAAGGTCACTTTGAAGCCTCGTAAGTCAGTCCAAGCCACGGCATTCATCCCGAAAAACAAGCTCATCATGGTCCCCATGGGTTTGACGATCAAGCACGGTCAGAAGAAGCCCGAGGATGCGATTTTCGATATCATCACCCCCATGAGTGACTACTTCTTCTGGGTTGTTTCGTTCATTCAGATTCCGAAAGCCGAAGGGGATGCTGGCTTCATCAATCCTGCATTCCTTGTGCAGCCGCTTCCCGTGAGTGACACTTGGAATTGCGAGGTTTCGCATGTCAAGTCCAATCGAGACAAGAAGGTTCAACTCCCCATCCTCAAGAACACCATGGACCTGCAGCAGGACGATGTGCTGTATATGCCAAAGGCCGAGAAGACTGTGCACGTCGAGGCCTTGCAGGCTGAAACCCCGCCAAGGAAGCGAATCTGCTCCAAGAAGCCGGGAGACTCCTGAAGCCCGAGTGTGATGCATCCCATGCCATTTTGTGTGCAGCTGTCCTATAGAGCTCACGGGCACTTCCTCCATTGCTTTGAAGCATGCAGCAGCTGTGCTGCTCACCACGATCCATGCACATGAAAGAACATGCACTTGCAGCCTGCAGGAAAGATGCCCGAGCCCGTGTATGTGTGCAAGTGTGCATGACTGCGAGCACGATTGCATGTAAAAGCGCCAAAAGCCATGGCATTCATGATTGCATGTCATTCACGAAGTTTTGCAGCTCCAGCTTCATCCGTGATTTCGTAGCTTTGCCAGCATGGAGCAGGAAGATGAGGAGATGACCGAACCCACGGTGGTGACAAAACAGATCGTCACATACGGGTCAGGGCTCACTTGGATCCCGGAACAAAAGACGGCCGAGGGAGTCACATGGTTCAAAGTGAGCAAGTGGGATCGAGGATTGTTTCGGTTCGTGTACGGCAAGGGCTTGGATCTGAGGAAGAATACGGAGAATCAAAACCAGTCACTCGACACACCTTTCTTCGAGAACATGTTGGCCCGTCGCCAAGAAGCATTCAACGAGGCTATCTCCGAAAGACTCAAGGATGAAGAGAATGACGAAGCCCCACAGCCGGAGAAGGCCCAGAAGAAGACCAAGAAAACCAAGGAGTTCAAAGCTACACAGAAGCATGAGATTTATGCACCCCACAGCATTCAGATTCACTTGCCCGGCGAGACCGAGGATGGCAACAAGGTCCAATGCCGAACTTTGTTCGAGGGGATGGGCACTCGGACTATGTGGCTGGAACTGAAGGACGATGTCGTGAAGCACATCCAGACCAGCTTCAACATTCTGAGGCCAAGCCACGAAAGACGATCAAGCCTAGAAAGGCCAGGGCCTACAGGAAGTAGGTTTTCGTCAGCAGGGCAATTTGCTCGTTGGCAGGAACATATATATCATGTGTGCACATGTCGCATAATTTTCTCTCGCTGGCATGCAGGAACTTCATGTGCCAAATATGCCGGTTGCTGCAAGTGCTTGCTTCCTCGTGGTGCTCGGTTGTGTGCATGTGCAAAGGTCTTCTCATGTATCGGTTGCAACATGTGGCTCAGGCTTTTAGCTTTTTGGGTGTGCAGCTGTAGCCCGTATAGACCATGTCGTGCACGGGTTATAGCTGCATGATCGGCCCTGATGTGGAGGAGGCCTGGTTCCTGTCTCCCATGCAACCAAAAAGATGTGCGTGCTGGTCAGGACTCACCGCAATGGTGGGCCTTTGAACGGTGCGGGCTCCTGCAGGAGTTGCTGCCGAACGAGGACAGTTCCCTTAAAGCCCCTTTAAACCAAAAAGTGCATCCTCTTTATTCCTATCTCCTGGGTCTAGTGTCATGCAGGACGACACATGGAGCAACAGCAGCTGTGTCCTTGGTTGGCACCGGCAGAAGAGGAAGTGGAGAATCCTCGACAACCTAGGCCGGGGATGTGCCATTGTCCCACATTTTCATCGTCTCTTCTCTGCAGGCAACCTCCTGTACAAGCACGAGAGCCGCGAGGAGACACCCCCCCAACGAAGGCATCCAAATTTTACAGGGTTGTGTTTTCAAGAGTTTCGGGTTTTCTAGAGTTTAGGGTATATATGGGTTCATGGTTTATGGTTTATATAATATATATGGTGTTAGACGGAAAATCAATATATGCACGTATATACGGTTTAGGGTTTAGGGTTTATGGGTTTAGGGTTTAGGGTGCAGCATGTGTACACACAAAAGGCGCTCAGGTTCCTAACTTTTACATATTTGTGTTTATACATACATACATACATACATACACACACACACATCTGTATACACATGTATGTGTGTGTATGTATACATGTATGTATGTGCGAGACACACACACACATATATATATATATAGGTATATATACATATATATATATATATATATATGTGTGTGTCGTATACATATATATATATATATATCCCTTCCTTATATATATATATATATATAGACATACATACATATATACATATATGTTATATACTATATATACACACTATATACAGTACAACCACAAAGGCCAAAAGCCTTCAACCAAACATGAAAACCCCCAACCCCGAGCCTATATATGCTGGTGCCCGGCTTCGCTTGTGCTCCAGGCCCGGGCCTAGAGCAAAGAAGTGAACTTCATGTGTGTTTCTGTGTGTTTCGATCTGGTGTGAGGAGATCGATGCAACGGGGCTGGCAGTTCCCAAGGACTGCCACTTTACACACAAGTATGTGCAACATTGCTCTTCCGAATCTGCAGGAGGAAAATTCGGCCGAGGAGGGCACCAAGGACTGCTATATAGTTCACAGATGTAAATATGTGCAGCAGAGGGCATTCGAATCTGGAGGAGGAGGAGCCGGCTCAGGAGACCAAGGACTGCCATGTCGCAGGTTTAATTTTGTGCAATATTATGCATTCGAATTTGCAGGGCGATGAGCCGGCTGAGGCAGCCAAGGACTGCCATGTAGCAGGTTTAATGTTGTGCAACATTATATGCATTCGATTCTGCAGGAGGATCAAAAAATGGTGGAGGTCACCTGCGAGCCCCTTCCCACCAAGGCGGCGGTCGTCTCTTGCATCATGGGCTTCCTTGCATGCTTTTAAGAGAATCAGGACTTCATGAAGCCGAAGCCCAAGTCCAAGAAGCGACCGGAGATGAAGGCAAAGGTCAGCATTACTCCGTTGTTGTCCTGTTCCTTTCATAAACCAAATCATGCATGGGCACA